CTTTTCATGTTGGCGTTTATGTAAAATTAAATTTTTAGTGTTAGGTGTGTTACTTTCCCTTAATTTTAGCATGCTATCGAGCTATTTGTATTGATGCATGTTAGAGAATTCACAATGGTAAACTAATGAATTGTCGTATTGACATTATATGAGAATTTAACACACTTGAATAAAATGAGAATAACAAGTAGAAACACCCAAAATTTTTACATGAAAAACTCCAAAAGAAAAAAAAATCAAGGGACCTAATACGATCAGAACGATCCACAATGAATTGTTGATTAGACGTGCAGGTGCTCGTCCCACCGGTGGGAAATGATTACACAGTTCTTTAAAGTACATGTTCGTTGTACTATGGTTGTTAGTGGCAATAGTTGGGAATAATTACTGAAATCAGTACACAATTTTTTAGGTGTGTCACTCCACTACGTAATTAATGGTGCATTGCTCCCTTGGGTGCTTCGCTGTTCTATAACACACGTTGAGATTTCGAAGGGAATTTCGTTGTAAGGAGCAGATGATGTCCAATGATGGTCGATGGTGATCGAGCAGTGGTCGACGATGACCGATTAATGGTGGTTGATGTTGCAGGATTGGGAGGAGTTCACCAGGTTTTGGGTGCAAGAATGAGACTGAAATTTGGCTCCTTCTCCATGCTTCAGTCTGCGTCTCACTTAATATCTATGTCTCAATTTAAAAAGCCCAGGTTGTAGACAAGAAAGAAATTCAAACCACCCAGATCGAACGTCCTGTGAACGTTCCCTTGAACAGACGGTGTTACATAAACATTTATATGTCTTAATGATGTCAGAATTAAGTGACATTGAGCTTGTTAGATTCGTTTTATTGAAAAACTCGATTTGATTATAAGTGTCAAATTAGGAATCTATTTGAACCTCCAATTATGTAATGAAAGCTCTAAAAGTAGCTTAATAATTTGATGTGAGCTTGATTTGACTCAGATTGGAACAATTTTGATATCGTTTACATTCATCCAATCTAGTCAGTCAGTTTGATTAGAAATTTGTTGAAATGAGAGTTTTGGATTACATTTAATATTAGTCTTAATATTTCTTGCTCAAAAAATTATCACGACCATTGTAACTAATGATTGAAATTTGTTGATGACATATCATCTATATTTATAGATTTATAGGTTATTTATTATGAATGGATAGATAAATTAAGCTCCTAAAATAAAATAGAAAATATAATAATTAAATCCTCCAGGGCATAACCGAATAACTCGGAAAGAATTATGACAAGCCAACGCTTATTGAAAAATAAATGCAATTTTAATAGTCAGCAATAATAGCTAACAACATTAATTAATTAAAATAAAATAAATAATTAGCCTTGTATGGAGATCTGCTCACCGCCGCATCCCAATAACCGAATATTGTGAGGTAGCACTGTCAGAGGTTAAGCTTAACTAGGCGGTGAGCTCACTCCAATACCCCGCGTTGCCTCGCCGACAATGCTACTCGCTTTCGAAGTCGCCGCCAAGGACAGCAAGCATTTAGGCCACATGAACCACGTACTAGAAAGCTAAAATTAAATTTCAAGAAATTTATAGTCTTTTTTTAAGGAATAAAATTTGAGTGCATTTAATAGGATAGTTTTTTATTTCATTTTGATAAAATTTAATTTTATTTTAAAAAAATTAACTAAATGTAATGTGTTGACAACATATCTGACTATTTATGATAATGACTCGATAACAATCATCACTGTTTTTTGAACAACACCTTCTTCTGCAGCAGCTTCACAAATTTTCACAATTGTTTATTCAAGCAACTGAAGGTACCCCAAAAGGAATCTTAAATAATTTTTATCTTATATTTTTGTTTTTTATATTTATTTTTATTTTTAAAAATATATTAACTTGATGTATTCTATTATGTATTCTTATATTTTTTATTTTAATAATAATCAAAATAATTTTTAAAGATTTGAAGAGTTTTTTAAAAAAATATCTAAATATATTTTTAATTTGTCAAACATATTTATTTAAATATATTCTTAATAAAAGTCATCCAAATGGCTTCCTAGTTTATTATAATAATCAGGCTAGATAAATATCTATTTTCTTCGATTTAATTCATTAAGGTTAATCATATGATATAAACATATAAAAAATATATAAAATTAGTTATAAATATGTATGCATGTATGTATGTAAAATTTTACTAGCATTTAAATTTATTTATGAAAGATTCATTCTCATTAGAGAATCTAATCATTTGTTTAATGACAAATTAAAAACCAGATGTCACAACAGTAAGGATGAAAACAATGTAAATTTAATTTCAATAGCATTGCCAAAGTCTCACTACATAATTTAAGCTGGTTTTAATATTAACTTTCTCTTTCATCTTGATATTTTATTATTTTTTTCAAGAAATTTGGACACGGCATCAACAAATTTTCATCATCTGATATGAATTTTGATGCATTACACGAATTTCAGGCAATCTTTTAAGTAATAAACATTCAAACATCAATTAAGGCTCTGCTTTCAACAAACTAATATTTAAACAGATCGGATCGAAGAGACAAACCCAATGATATCAAAATTAGTCTTATCCGAGTCAAATTAAGCTTATATCAAGTCATTAAACCACACTTGAAAGTTTTTCAGACGTGTTTAGGAAGTGAATCAAATGTACAATCTAGCAAGTCTACAGTCGAATCGAGTGTCTCAACAGGACGAATCAAACGAGTCCTAGCTTGCTCAATTCTGACCTCGTTAAGACACTCAAATGTTCATCAATGATCAAACATCATATGATCGAGGAAGCTATTGGAAACGTTCTATCAAATTAGTTCATATTTCTGCATTAATTACAAATAGAAGACTATAAATAGAGTCACACCCCTCTCATGTAGGGGAGTTAACTTGAAACTTGAGAAAGAACTTGAAGCTTGAGAAAAAACTTGAAGCTTTGAGAAGAAGCTGAAGTTCAACATCATTGCCGACCACCGCAGACATCCGTCGACCCTGCCGACCGCCATCGACCATCACCTGATTGCCTCCACCGATCGTCATCAACAGTCATCCACTTCTTACAACAAATTCATTGGCACGCCAACTTTGAAATTCAGAAGACTTTGTAACATTTTTCCGTCTGTGGGATAAATGGTTTTTGAAATCATCAAATTATAGTGGATTTTTACAATTGACTATGTGGTTTTTTCCTTTTACGGATTTTTCATGTCAAAATTTTTGGTGTCACTACTGATTTTTTTTACTTTTATTTGAGTGTGTGATGAAACTCGTGTAACACTAAGACGATGATCAATCACTCGAATTTTCTAGCCCGCATCAAAATCAAACAAATAATAAAATCATAAAAAATGATTTATTTTTGGTGAACATAAAAGTTTAATTTTTATGCTTCAACCGAAGTTACAAAATTTTAAAATTTTAAAATTACAAATATAAGGGTTTATTATTATTATTATTATTATTTTATTTTAGTTCTTTTGATTTATTTTTTATATATATAAGCGTTGAATCCCAAATTATTTTAGAATAGACACACTTCGAGAATTAGAAAATGAAAAGAGAAAAAAGAGAGAAAGACTGTCAATTCAAGAAGATGAGCGTGTCAACCATTATTCATAGAACACACCTTATTCCTAATCATATGTGACTTGAATTAACATTGACATTGTTACCTTACTCTCTTGTCAGTTAGAGGGTAAGATTGGTCTTTTTCTATAATCCTGAAGCGAGTAATCTAATCACAAATCTAATACAAATAAATGGACTCAACTATCATGACTACTCGTGATGGTTGAATCTAACACCTAACAAGATATATTTGACTTTTATCTATGGTTGACGATCTCATGTGCCTTGGTTGGTTATGTAACCCAACTGATTTTATCGACTGTCTATGTACAATAGATTTATCGATCAGTTAGGCGGATGCAATGAGTTAGCCAGCCAGTTAGGCTTGATTGATGATCCTCCATGTAAAATTTAGATCAACAATCTAGGTGAACTTCTTGATCCTTATAAGATTTATGCTCACATTTTTCTCATATAAAACATGGGTACTATATGAATTCATATTGAATTTCAATTTAGATTACTTGACAAAATCCCCCCCACCGCAAATTGAGGGTTAGAACATAATTTTGGGGAGTTTGTTTTAATTTTCTTTATATGGACCGAATTTTACGGAGACCATAAAAACTAAAAAAATATGTCAATTTCAAACCAATCACAATTGAAATTGATGCAGAAATTAAAAGGAAAAAAACACTGTGAAAACCGATAAGATCCACAGCTGCTGATGGTAACATTTATGAGTCATCACAACCGTCCATTTTGGACGGTTCAGCTCGTGGGATGATCTCAGCGTTTGGCTGCCAAAAGAATGAGTCATTTTTATTTAACTTAACATTTCCTGCTCATCTAAATATTATTTAAAATTAGAGAATTTACATTCACGCTACAACTTCTTTTATATTTATATAAATAACCGTATATAATATTTTAGTAAACCAATAACTATTCATACATACATACATACATACATACATACATACATACATACATACATACATATATATATATATATATATATAGACACACATATTACGCTAATTTTATGCATTTATATATCTATAGTCTAAAATCTAATATATACATTTATAGCACTTGTCGCTTTTGAATCATAAATCTACTTACAAAATTATATATTTCATCTTTTAAAAATGATAATTTTATGTAATATTAAAATTTAGAGTGCTATATTTATAAATATGAATTTTTTTTGTTAGATAAGTAAATATGTAAGTATTGTATGGTATGTATATAAATGCCCTTTTTTTGTAATATGATGTAAAGTTTATTTCGATTTTATAGAGAAGAATTAAAATATAGAAAAATATATTTAAATTGTATGATATCTATGTATATCCTTTTGAAATAATATATATATGAAAATACAGTAATTAATAGCAAAAATTTCAATTTGATACGGTGAGATTGTGTGCGTTAGGAAACGCTGTCTTCTTTTGCCACAGGATTACTCTGCGGTCTTTTTCAGTCCCTCTGGTTTTGCTTCTTTCTTTCCACCCGGAGAAGGAGAGAGGAAATAACACTGAAAGAGAGGCAAAAATAGGAAGAGCTTGAAACTCTGCAATCTCCATTTTTTTCCAAAACTGTTTTTTTTTTTTCATTCTGCACTCAAACGCCGCATCAGTTGCAGAAGAAGAAAAGCAGAAAGAAGGGGAAAAAAGGGGGGCAATTTTACGGTAGGGCGGAACCTGCAATCTAAAGATTGTTTCTTGTCTGCTAATTTTTCAGATCAAATTTCAACCTTTTTCCTTTATTTGATTGGGTTGAACAGACCAATCTTTCATTCTCCTTCCGTTCCGCTGGAAATTCGAAACCCCCTTGCGATTGTGGAAAGTAACGATATTCATTTGAGAAAAACCTATTCTTGATCTCGATTCCGGTTTCTCGCTGGATATCGGCGATCGCTGTGGGCTCGATGGCGGGCAAATCCATCTCGTTGGATTACTGGAGAAAGTTTTTCCGCAGTGCGAACTCGGATATATTTGAGGTGATCGAGCAGGCGATCGTCGTTGCGGCGGTGGATTGCCCAAAGGAGTTCAGGAGCAGAAGGGATCGGATTGCTGAGAAGCTTTTCACCTGCAGGCTTTCTCGTTGCTTTGGGTGCAATAACGTTGAGCTTCAGATTCCTGATGATGGTGAGGAATTGGGGGAAGAGGAAGGAGGAGGAAGCGTTAAGAGGGAGGTGGGTGAGAAAAGCAGTAAAATGGATAGCTGTAATGGCGAGGCTGAAGATTTGAACAGGGTAGGTTTAAGCAATTATAGCTATGATGAGGCCGAGGCTCTTACAGATGTGATGGAAGAGGAAACCCAGATGGTTGGGGAGGTCCTGAGGATAAAGGAGCTTCTCCGCAACAACCTTGATGAGGTTTTTCATCATTTTTTTTTTTTGTTGAAATTGTTCATTTAGCCTTTTTCTTAATCTTTATTTCTTGTGCAGTCTGATGCAGTGTTGTATGAATCTTTGAGGAGGTTGGAGCTGATGCACCTTTCGGTAGAAACTCTGAAGGTTAGTGTTGGATTGAATTTCATCTTTATATGAAATCATATAGTTTGGTGAGGGGAAAGGAGCATATTTTGGGCTTCTTCTTGTTTACTTGATTTGGTTGTCTTTTAATTTAGGCAACTGAAATTGGAAGGGCTGTGAATGGTCTGCGGAAACACAGCTCCAAGCAGATTCGCAACCTTGTTCGGACTCTCATTGAGTGAGTGTCTGGATCATATGGCTTGTTATTAACAGAATTGCCTAAAAATGGTTTCTTTCCCTGAAAAATCGAATCTTGGAATGATTATGGTTTGTTTTCAGAGATCGTGTTTTGTTTTTCTGATAAATTATCTTTAGATGTATCTTACTTGATTTATTTGTATATTTCATTTGTTATTTCTGTCTTTTGAGTTCATAGAGTGGGATAGTTTTGCTGTTTTTTTAGCCAGTTGGGAGGTTCTATTGATGTGAATTGTTTCAATTGCTTTGATTTATTTATATTATTTTCTTATATAATACTTATATCATAACGCACTGTAGAGTTTGATTGGATTGGTTATAGCTTTCAGCTTGATCACTGTGACGGTTTGGAGCTCAAATCAATCTGTTAATGGGTTTTATTTTTTTGTTTGATTTTTTTTAAAATTAAATTTTCAGTTATTATAATACCTTATGGGAGTAAAAATACTACTTTGATGTAATCTTCATTCACAGTGACAATCATCACTCATCACACACTAATCTTATTCCATTTTACTTATTGCAGAGGTTGGAAGGTGTTGGTGGATGAGTGGGTTAATGCTACAGCTGCAATTGCTGGTAAGAAATGCATAAAATGGTGATAAAAATGCTTTGTTTATTTATTTATTTTTTTTTATATGCACTCACATGTAAAGATTTAGACAAAATTATTCTTTGAATTTGGTTTCAGATCACTCTCCTGACTCTGTTAATCCCTCTACTGTGTATGAAGAGGAGGGGTTACCTTCTCCTCCAATGGATGAAGGAGCTCTATTAGTCACACAGACCACTTCTATTCCCCTTTCTGAGGTATTTATGATATCTACATTCATCTTTGTCTTCATCTGTTTTCTTTGAAGCATAGAATTTATGTTTGTAATGAGCTAACTGTGTTTCACATCTGCACGAACTGTCGTTCTTAAAGTTCTTCGATGGCATGGATGATGATGGAAGTAAGCATCCCAAGCCTTTTGCTTGTTATTTTTACAGAAATTTTTATATTTTCGACATCGTATTGAACCATCCTATATGAACTTTGCTTTAGATTTAAGGACTTCAGGGGACTTTATGAGTTTTGGAGATGTCGATAGACGCATTCCTCAAAACCGTGGACCTGTGCGACGGCAAGAGCCACCTCGGCCACCGGCCGTTCCCGTCGAAAGAACACCGGTGAGTAAGCCCGAAGATGTTGTCCGGCAAGCAAAGCCACATGCCATTCCTAGCACTCAATCAAAGCCACATCAAACCATTGTCGATAAGCCAAGCAAACCTTCTACTGCTGATTCTGGCCCAGGCAGACCTCTTAAACTATCCTCTGAACAAAAATCAAACACTCAGCTCTCTAATGTTCAGAGAAAGCTTTCTAACGGTCCTCAAGATGTAAGAAGTATTATAAATTTAAAGCCTTCAAGATGGAAGCTTTCTCACCATGATTAACCTGTTAATCGCCTTTGATTCGTGCAGAAATTGAAGAATTCTGACGAAGCTTCAGTCGATGCTAAGCTCGAGCAGGCGAAGAGGAGGCTCCATGAACGATATCAGCAAGCAGAGAATGGTTTGTTTTTCTGATTGTTTTTCTTAAAACTCAAGCTACCATGAATTCAACTTCCTTGCTGACTCATCTTCTCATTACTCAGCGAAGCGGCAGAGAACGATACAAGTAATGGAGATAAATGATCTTCCGAAGCAATCACATAACCAACGGCCGTCTAACATGAAGCCTAAGAACCAGTTCAGGAATTGGGCGAATGCGCGGCGATGATCTCGGGACAAAATTCCTTTACCTCTCTAGAGAAAGAGAATATAAGAAATTCTTATGTGAGTTTCAGAAGCTCCATTTGAGTTGAATTTCAAGTTATGGAACTTGATACTCTTTAATGATCACATTTTGAGATTAGTTCTATTGTTTGCAAGGTGAAATTTGAAAATAGAAACAGATCAGAGATGTCAAATTTACATTTTGCATAATAAACCTTTTTCTCTCATTATTGACCCCGAAAGATTTTCTTTTTTCTTTTCAAAATATCAACTTTTTGCTATAGATGATGATGTAACCGAGCACAAAAATGCAAACCTTTTAATCCATATAATTTCACATGTGACTTTGGCAATGCGGCATTTTCTTCTTTTGCTGAATTATTGGTTTCTCATCTGCTTGCCAGCTTTATGTTTAATCATATATATAATCAATTAATTCTTTTATTTACACATCATGACTGAGAAAAAAAAGGTAGGAAAAGAGTTTATTTTCATTTGTAAATTACATGTAGAAGGGTTTTGTGTTGAGTTTGTTTTAATCTTTTTTTTTTTTTTTTTTGGTGTTTGTTTTACATTTAATGCGATAGCTTTTAGTTGGCATAGACTTAGTCCAAGGTTTTTTTTTTAAGCAGGGGGTCAAACCTAAATATGGAAAATAGGCTGTGTCATATGGTAAGATTTGTTGACTAGATTTGGTCCAAATCCATAAGCTTTTGTTTTCTTATTTTATTTTAGGGGTTTTTTTTTCAAATATTTTTTTAGAAATTAATTTTAATTTCAAATTTAATATAAGAAAAAAAAAGGTGGAAAAGAAAGACTTTATATTCTGCTGAGTAAGATAATTCATAGAAGGAAAAATCAAATCTCACCAACTGTGGGAAGTTGGTGTTAAGATAGAATTCCATAGGCTAAGGCAAGCCAACCAAATTGGCATAAAATAAAATATATGTAAAAACTATATTAATTTTATCTTCAAAATAATCAAATTAGTCATGAGGCAAAAATAACCTTCCCTGGATATGATAAAATATGAAAGGTTGACTCATCCTCTCAATCAAGTGAAAGAACCAACAATATATATATATATAT